GAAGGGTTTCTTTACTTGGGTTTTGATGTCACGATTTCAAAAGCTTGACTCTTCATGGATTTATTTAAGGAAGAAACAGTAACAGAATTTTTGAATCTTGGCTATCTTGATAAATCAGAATGGAATAAAATGCTGTCACCACATTTCTAAAAGAACAGGCATTTGAGAAATAAAAGTTTAGATGAAATATGATATCTTTCTTACATTTAAAAGGCGCCATTATTCACTGATAGTTATAGTCCTGTTTCTCCCCTCCCTGTTTGAAAAATTTTATCTATTGAGCTAGAGATTGCACACAATGAAGTGGATTATTTTTAGAGTACAGTTCAATGAGTTTTGGCAAACATATGTATCCTTAAATGTGTTTCCATTGCCTCAGAGCATTCTCTTCTGCTTCTTTACAGGCAATAACCAACCGCCCCCCCCACCCCATCCTGCTTCAAACAAATACTGATTTGAAATCTATTCGCACATATTTTTGTTTCTTCTGGAACGTCGGAGTATACACTCTTGCGTCTGGCTTCCTTTGCTCAGCCTTAATGTTGAAATTCATATTTCTTCCCTTTTATTGCTGACTGGTATTCCCCCCATCACCCTGTTTTAAAAGAACATCTCTTCATAACTGTGACTTTCTGGTCAAAAAGCTGAAGCCTCAGGGCAATTCAGTTTTAAAAGTTCTTGTAGCTTTTTACGTCTGCATCTTCAGCTAAATTCAATTTAGGGAATCACTTTGGTGATGTTCATTTTCCACACAGCCTGATGCCATCTCTCTTACCCCCAAACCCACCCACACCTTTTACCTTCCTTTTTATTTTTCCTCCATTTAGTAAGCAAAATGAGGAGTGAGCGGATTACATTGTATATCCTGTATGAAATGCCATAATGGTCTTTTTCCAATCAGAAGGGAGTTTGCCGAGCTTTACTGATACACTATAAGTTTATCTTTCACTCTCTTGATCAGGAGCCTAGTTGGGTGTTGTATGACATAAAATTTATTTTTAACTGTTGCCATAGTAACCATTACACACAGAGGAAAAAGCTGAGAAGCATAGAACCAAGGTGATATGAGTAGAATATCGGAAATTAGATTTTGATAGATTTCAACTAAGATTTAAAATAGAATGGATTTAATAGCTAGAGTTCTTAACCCAGGGACCAAGAACTCCTAGAGGGATCTAGGAATGGCCTTGAGAAATGTGTTTTAAAAAGTCAAATAAAAATCACAAATGCTGATTAAAAACCAGCTCTTCCCTACCTCATCCTACCATAATACTAATTTTATACTTCAGTATGAAATTTCTTTTATTTTTTCGCCAGATAGTTGTATTTCTATATTTCAAAGTAATAAGCTTATATTACGTTTCTGGATTTTTCTATTTTGGACATTATGTGTGTTAGTTGCTCAGTCGTGTCTGACTCTTTGCAACTGTATGGACTGTAGCCTGCCAGGCTCCTCTGTCCATGGAATGCTCCAGGCAAGAATACTGATGGTGTTAGTCACTCAATCGTGTCCGACTCTTTGTGATCCCACAGCCTGTAGCCCACCAGCCTCCTCTGTCTGTGGAATTCTTCTGGCAAGAAAAACGGAGTGGGTAGCCATTTCCTTCTCCAAGACATTGTATATGAGGTTCCAGTTATGGTTCCCCTCNGAGTAAGCATCCTTTAATTTCATGGCTGCAATCACCATCTGCAGTGATTTTGGAGCCCAGAAAAATAAAGTCAGCCACTGTTTCTGTTGTTTCCCCATCTATTTGCCATGAAGTGATGGGACTGGATGCCATGATCTTAGCTTATTTTATTATAATGACAGAAATGTTTACACATAAGCCATCCAGAATACTGTTTTTGTTTGTGCAATATTTTTGTTGTTTTTCTTGGAGTTAATGACTGGAGAATCCCCTAGTGTTTGTTCTGCATCAGTTTCCCCCTTTGCTGGATCCTGTGTATGTTCTCTTGTTTTCCTCTTGTATTGATGGAGTGTGTTCTTCAGTAGTTTGGTGAGATATAGCACAAATGAGGTCTATTTTTTTGAGAGCTTGCGTGTCTGAAAGTGTCTTCATTTTTTTCTTCACACTTGATTGAAAGTTTTTCTGGGAAATAATTCTTAGGATTTTGAAGAAATATTATTCCTTTGTCTTGTAGCTTTTAGTGGTACTGTTGAGATGTGTTCTGATTCACAATCCTTTGTGTGGGTTTTTTTTTTTTTTCTTCCTTTGAAAGCTTTTAGAATGGTCTATATCTCTGTGTTCTTACAAGTCGGGATAAGGTGCCCTGGCTTTGGCCTTTTTTCACTCCATTGTCTTGAACACTTGGTGTGCCTTTTCAGTTGGAAAATTCATATCTTTTGCTCTGGAACATTTTATCTAATTTTTTTTTCCTCCACTCTCATTTTTTTCCCCCTGGTATCCTTCTTTGGATCAGTCACCCCATTTTCTTTTCTCACCTGTTTTCCTTTCTTTGTTTTTCTGTGTCTTACTCTTTGGAGATTCAAGAGTCTCTTTTAACCTTTATTGGATTTTTTTTTTTTTTTTTGCTATCATACTTATAATTTCCGAGAGCTGGTTTTCATTCTCTGAATTTATTTTTTGTAGCATCCTATTCTTGTTTCACTGATGTAATATCTTCTCCCCCAAGGGATACTCATCATAGATTTCAAAAATTTCTTTTTCCTCCCTTAGTTTCTGTTTCCCTACTCCACTCAGCACCTTTTTCTTTTACCTGTCTATCCATATTACAGGCTTTCCTTGACTGTATCGTGATCCTTGGCTGACTGCATGGGTGGGGGAGGAAGGTGCACAACACAGCTCGGAGTATGTGGTGGGACTCCCTTGTGATGGTTGGGTAGGTACCCAACAGTTTCCTTGGTCGAGCTTCAGATGTCACCGTTGATAGTTCTTTTCAACTGGTTGTTTTTCCCAGGGGAGAGCCATATGTTTCCCATATCGGGGCTCAAGAGTCAAGCTGAGTTTTACTGGAGCCAACCCAGCAAGGACGTTGAGGGTCAAAAGAGGGCTGAGGACCTTACTTGTTGGTGGGTCCGCTTTGACCTCATCTTCCTGTTTCCTGCCCACTGCCTGCCTCCCTCCTCTCAGTTGGCTGACATTTCCTGGTCCAGATTCCTTCTAGTTCAGTTTCTTCAGATTGTAAACCTATTTGGCCAGGGTTGAGGGGAGGGAATTACATGCCTGTGTGGTTTGATGAAGATGGTTGAGGACTCAAAATACTTTCCACTCTGTACCCTTTTTTTGGAATAAATTGCTATCTATGGGTCTGCTGGCTAAGTTTTTTGGCTGCACTATGTAGCATGTAGGATTTTAGTTCCCCAACCAAAGATCAAACCCACAACCCCTGCACTAGGAGCATGGAGTCTCCATCAGTGAACCACAAGGGAAGTCCCTCCACCCTGAATTCTTGCCTTTAGTATCTTGGTGCTTCCTTTTCAGTCTTAACTAACCCCACTTGATGCTGTCCATCTTCTTCAGTTTCCAAGGATTTCTTGCCATCCTTGCTGTTCCCTTCTCTCTGTTTTCTCTTTTCTTAGTGTTTTATGCTAAAAAGGAGTTATTTCACTATCTCTTTAGGATTGCAGGAAGGATTAGGGGTCATTAGAATCTTCTTCGCCAGATTGTTAAAGGGGTCTATCACTCCCTCAAAAGCTAAGTAATTCTACTATGCTTCATTCTACTATGCTTATCAGGAGAGAGTACAGAGTGCCCTTACTTAGGGCTCTTTTTACATTGGAGAGTTTGATAAAAGTATGATTTAAAAAAGGATAAAAGTTGTCCTTAAGTTGTAGGATTGGATTAGATGCTGTCTCAAGATACCTTCTCATTTTAGCATTCAGTCATCCTGTTTTCCATGTTTTTTGGAAAGATGTTAAAATTTAGTTTTATAATCATCAAAAAAAAAAAATAGCATCCTTGAGTCTGTGTGCCACAACACTAAATATTGTCGAAGACGACAGATACTTTAATTGTTACAAACATGGTAGACTTTCTCGAGTGATGGGAATGTCCTATACATTAATGAACGTTTGAATTATACAGGTGTGTATACATTTGCTAAAACTCTTCAAGTGATATCCCTTCGTGTATACATTTTACCTCATACAGAAAACCAAAACTGTAAACAAATATGAAATTCTAACTTAAGTAAAGACACATGTAAAGGAATGTCAAAAGTATATAAAAGTAGTTCTGTAAATTGTGAAAGCTCATGATTTTTACTGTATCATGCTATAAAAATAAAAATTTTTTAATTAGGGTAGGAAGTGGAATTGCACTTATCCTGAACCTTGTGACTACCCCTCCCTGCTTCTTTTCTCCTTTGTTATCAAGCTTTGCTTATCGATGCCGGCGCCAAACTGTGCAGATCTATGAGAATGCTGGCAATTGTCTTATTTAATATCTAAAAATCAGAATACATGGCAAAAAATTCTTGGCATGTTTTAATTCTCTTTATTTCATGATTGCCTCTGGATGTGTCTGCTCTCCTGGAAGCTGACTTTACTTTCATTTTAGTCAGTTGAGATGAACATCCAGTTCCTTGGTTATAAAATTCAGCTAAAGTTTTAGACCTCGAAGGATGAGCCAAGTGATTCATCAGCTGAATAGGAACTATGCCAGGAAGAATGGAGAAGGATTGATAGCGTGGTCTCTCAAATTAGTCACTCCCTTCTAGACATACTAACTTAGGTGTGGAACTTCCTATTTTCAGAGTGCTTAGTAGCCTGAGTAATTTTTTTCTAAATTACTCAGAGGTAGGTTAGGAGTAATTCTCTCATCTCACAGGAAAGAGAATACAGAGAAGTGGAGACCTAAGCAAGTGAGTCTGTGTCTTAACCAGGATTAGAATTCTGCGTATAGATTAGCCTCAGGAGAATGGGTGGCAGTGAGAACTAGAGACTGTTACAGCGGTAATGGTGAAGAATACAAACCACGTTGTAGGTTTAGTCTGGCAAGACTTTGGACTGACCCAAGATGGAAACTGTTCTGTTGCAGGTAAAAGAGAATCTGCTTTCATGCAAGATGCTATTGCACTGCAAACGAGATGAGCTTCGGAAGCTGTGGATTGAAGGAATTGAGCATAAGCATGTTCTGAACCTGCTGGATGAAATCGAGAATATCAAGCAAGTGCCTCAAAAGCTGGAACAGTGCATGGCCAGCAAGCACTATCTCAGTGCCACCGACATGCTGGTAAGAGCACTGCCTGAACTGGGCGTGTCTGCTAAGATAGAAGAGTGCTTCCTTCTGTTCCCTCTGAATTCTGTCCCTCTCAAAGCACATGACAAACTGCCCTCTGGGCATTCATGAGCCCTTGCAGGTGAAGCCTGCCTGGTCCTCCTCCTGGTGTCAGTGTTTGCAATGGGAGGCTATGGTTATTTACGTTGTCTGCCTTTGGAACAATGGCAAGGAGCCTGATGGTAAGAAACCAGGACCTGGCATGTTGGAATGGCAATGAGAGGTGTTAGTTGGAGTGTCAGAGGAAGATAGTTCAGTTCAGTCGCTCAGTCGTGTTTGACTCTTTGCGACCCCATGAATCGCAGTACGCCAGGCCTCCCTGTCCATCACCAACTCCCAGAGTCTACTCAAACTTATGTCCATTGAGTCGGCGATGCCATAATGAATCCCATTTTGAAGAATGAAATCTGCATGAGAGAGAACTTTCGGAGGTTTCTGAACTATAGGTTGCACAAATTCTGTGAAAGAATGTTTACATTAGGGTTTTGTTTTGTTTAAGTTAATAAGAAAATAATTTTCAGGGAAATAATTCTGGAAGTAACTTTGTCCAGCAGCAGTATGCCATAGACTAGCCTTTATCCTGTATCTTCGTCCTTTCTGCTACTTTCTGAATTAGAAGTGAAAATTCAAGAGATGGTTGCAGCTGGTGGTACACATGGCTGAGAGTCAGGATAATGAATAAAAAATAAAAAAAAATACAAATCTTGCTTCCTAAAAACCTTAACCTTCCAGAGCCTGTGGCTCTGAATGGGGGCTGCTCATTCTGCCTCCTCCTTCTACACCAGCTCCCTATTTCCTTCTCACAGTTGTCTGGGGATGAAGGAAACTCTCAGAAGCAGATGGACTGTATTTGGATTTTCTTTTCCACGATAGGTGAAAGTCCCTTATCTTTGTTTCAGCAAATTAGATTGCCTGTAACTCTGGAAGGAAAAAAACCAAGACACTGAGGGGAATTAATGGGAGCAAAACAGGTTAAATCCTCTAAGTGGTTCTAATTCATTCTGACTTTCAAGAAGAATTTTGCTTGAAGTCTGTCATAGGAAGGTTTAAAGGAAACTTGATAACCAAGAGATGAGATGTGCCATGATATTCTCTCATATATTAAAACCTGGTTATGTGATAGTGAATTTCCACAGTGGAAGGAGGTTAATAATGGTCTTTTCTTCAGAGTGGCAAAATAATTGGTTATTTTCAGTATCTTTATAGTGTCGTCTTCCTTAATAATGACTATATGGCGTCCAATAAAAAATTTACTTACCTCTCAGCTTTACTGTTGGTTTATATGTTAGGACGGCATGCATGCATGCAGACTCAGTCACTTCAGGCATGTTTGACTCTCTGCGACCCCATGGACTGTAGCCCGCCAGGCTCCTCTGTCCGTGGGGTTCTCCAGGCAAGGGTACTGGAGTGGGTTGCCATGTCCTCTTCCAGGGGATCTTCCTGATAGAGGGATCGAACCCATGTCTCCTGCCTCTCCTGCGTTGGCAGGTAGATTCTTTATCCACTGAGCCACCTGGGAAACTCAGGAAGGCATATATGTACTGAATATTCAAGACTTAGCAGTCAGAATAGATAAGCTTATATATATACACATATATATATTTGTGTAGCGTATATACATCTATTTGAACTGTGATTTTTTTTGTACTGGGCCTGTTTTTAAGTTAGTGCCATATATTAAAAATAGGTTGTTAATGTTTATTTTGGTGTTATGTTCGTTTTAGGATTTCAGATTTTAGAACTAGCCTTTATTCCTCAAGGGCTAATTTATTTAAGAGCTAATTAATGATACCATATATATTTTTTTGAACTTATTTACTTAAGGACCTCATTAAATATTTCTGTAACTTCTTAGTTGTAAGTTGCAGAAATTCAGCTCTAGCTAGCTTAGGTAAGAGAATTGCTTTACCCATGTAGCCAGTCTGCTAAAAGAATGGGCATCTATGTGGAAGGCCATCTCTATGGTCTTCCTGCATTAAAAAAAATTTTTTTCTATAGACTTTTTTCCACATGTGGACAGAGTTTTGGTGTTTGGGGAAAAAAAGGGTTGTAAGCTATTATCTTACATCTTTCCAGCTTTGCAGAGGAAAATAATCTTTTAATTCAGAAATATGGGCTTAGGATTAATTAGTCAGCTTGGGTACTATGATTATCAACTCTAAGTAAAACTATGTGATTGAGGGACATGGGAGGCCTGGGGAGTTGGTTGAGAAGAAAGGGCAGTCACCTCTAAAAAAGAGTGAGGGTGAGAAGTACATTTCTCAGAAGTTCCTCTTTTTTTCTGTTTGTAGTTCTTTATGTACTCTGGATACTAATTTTTTGTTAGATGGATTGTAAATATCTTTTCCCAGTTGGTAGTATCTTTTTGTTTATGGTATCTTTTATTAAACAGTTTTAAAATTTAATTCAACAATGTTTTTCAGTCTTTTTTGCCTTTGTTATGTGACTTCTTTTGAGAAATTTATTTTTTTTTATCCCACTGTCACAAAGATAATTTCTTATACCGTTGTCTTTAATCCACTTAAAATGTATATGGCATGAACTAGAGATCTGATTTTACCTTCTGTATAGCTGCTTGGCTCAAGCCGTTTATTGAATTCATTTCCTACTGATTTATAATTCCACCTTGGTCACATACCAAGTTTGCATATGTGCATGGGTCTGCCTCTGAGCTCTTTATTTTGTTTAGTTGGTCTTGTCTGTATCTGCACCAAAACCATGCTGTTTTAATTACTATAATTTTATAATATATCTTGATAGCAGGTGAAGACATTCCCTCACTTTGCTATTCAGAACTATGTTATTCTTGACACATTTTATTTTTTAATTTTACTCTTTACATATTTATTGTTTATCTTCACACATTTATTATTTTACTCTTCCATATGGATTTTAGTATCAGCTCATCAGGTTCCATGAAAAGCATGAGAGGAACTTTTAAAAACACTTCTTGGCCATTCTCTGCAACATTTGGGATTGTAGATCACTAACCAGGGATGGAACCCCATGTCCCTTGCATAGAAAGTGTGGAAACTTCACCACTGGACTGCTGGAGAAGTCCCAACATGATGAAATTTTGATTAAATTTAAGAGAATGTCATCTTTGTAATAGTGTCTTTCAGTGAACAAGCTCTCTCTCACTTATTGAAGTTTTATTCTGTCCTTTATAATAATAATGCTTAGTAATGTACTCCTTTAGTGGCATTACATGTATTTGTTCATTGTACTTCTTACTGTCAGCTTCTGGCTGGTTTTTAAAGCAGTGGCTCTTAATTATAATTTCTAGTTATTTGTTAATGATGTACATGGGTGGGATAGATTTCTTTTTTTATGAATCATACATTTCTTTAAACCTAATCCTTATCCTTCCTACTTGGAAAATGATGATTTATCCTTTAAGATGTGGCTCAAATTTCATCGAGTTTCTGAATGCCCTTGGTAATTAGATAATTACCTTGTTTTTTAAAAAAATGAATTATATATTCATTGTAGTATTAATGCTTAACATAAGTATATTTATTTCCATAAGCTGGATGTATTTCACAGGAATATAATTGCTTTTGTTTGTATGGTAGGTCATTAAGGGCAGGGGCTATGTCTTACCTATTTTTGTCTACCCTGTACTTAGCATAATGCACTTCACATAGTCAAGTTCACTGATGATTAGCCAAATGGGTAGCTCTGTGGAAGACTTTCATACCAATAAATAGAAAAGGGCACTTCCTTTCTACGAGCTCGGGTCTGACTTTTTCCCTCTGATTTGTGGCTTTTGTTATGTTTTCTTAATGGCAAAGTTCTCTTGTTCTAACCATTCCTTTCTACAATGTTGAAATGAACAACAAAAGTATAATTATAATAATAGCTAATATGTATTGAGCCCTCACTATGTGCTGGTACCATTTTAAACATGTTACCCTTGTTGACACTGAATTCTTACAATACTCTTATGAGAGAGAGGTTTCTGATATCCTCTCCATTTTCCAGATGAGGTAGTTGCTTTGCATGACCTGGGGGGTTAGCATTTCCTAACATACAATGAAGATTTCCTGGAGGTGAGATTTAAGATGTGCTCAAAAAGTTGGAAATATTCTTCAATTTGCCTTTCGTATGTGAATAAATAGTAAGATCTATAATTGCTTTTTTATTGGACTTCATATGAGAAAATAATCACATTGCTTTTCCCCGTGGTTATGTGCTCTTAGAAGTAAAATCTACTTAAGGCATCTCAAGAGTCCAAATGAAAATCTGTGCTAAAAGACATCAGAAGAAAGTGAAGGCAGAACAGTCTAGTCTTTCAAACCCCTCTGATTTCCTTGGATCTTTTTATCAAAAGATTTTGCATTTCCATTTTGAGGCAGGTGCAGATGCCCACTAATTTAATCCCTACTCAGGTTAATAAATCCAGAGTAAATAAATCAGTGGTGACCCATAGCTCGTGTCAGCTCCTGCAATTCTTGTTTCACCATCAGAGTGGGCTGATGGCTACAGACTTGGCTTCTAGATGGGATATTTCTTTCTTTTGATATGATAACCTGAGAATTGCATAAAATAATTAAATTGTCATGACAGGGGATGTCTGCAAATAGGCCTGGCCTTTTGTTTCCTCTTTCAAGGTAAACAGCTGCTGTTAGCTTATGAAGAGCTAAAAGTGATCCAGCAAGAAGCCTGTACCCGTCATGTGGAAATCAGAGACTTGATTAATATTGTAGCCTGTAGCTTTGTGATATGTATGGTTTAAATTAGACCTCTGTAGTCATTGTGCCGGGTTGATGCAAGCACATTAATGACATAATTTCTGGTTGCTGCATCACATTTCTGCAGTCTGTCCTTTGTATTCCACTCACATTAATTGAAGTAATTTTGCCAGTGAAGCGTGTTTCAAACCTCTGCATTTAAATTGAAATTTTAATTCCCTTATTGTCTTGAAAAGACTGCTGAAGATGCCTTGTTACAGG